CAAATGGATCAAAGTGGTATCTTCCTGCATCTACATCATATGTAATTTCTGCAATGTTCTCGTTCAATCATGTATTTTCTCGCCTTTGTCTGTACTAGAGCTTTTTCTTTTAACCACTGGATATCCTATTCCATACATGCTCGATGTGACACAGGAAGAATCAAAATGTTCAACTTTTTACTAGAAAATGAATAAATTCTTTCTTTATGCACCAATTTGAATACAATACTCATCCCCAGACTAGGAGAAAGGTCAAATGGAAAATTCTCCCAACAAAGAGATAAAGTAAGAGCCCCAAATTAGTAATGTGAACTCAATAAGTTATGCTGCCCAAAGAAACTTGAAGGTTCAGGATGCTTCTACTTTTGACGGGTATAGCCATTCCACCTTTTCCTTTAATAAAGTTAATGAATTTATTCAAAAGATGGGAGAAACTCCGCATACAAGATGTATATCATATAGAGAGCCTTACAAAAGACACGATTTTCTACAAGAAGCATCCAATCATGTTTACTGTAACGAGGACACGGAGGAGCTCCAAGATATGTAAAAACTAACAAGATTTCTTTAATATGTTTGAAAGCTATTCCAATAATATCCCCCGGTTTCTTTCTCTTCATATTGTACACATGATCGCTAGAGGTGCTACACTGCCACCTCTTATGCTCTCTGTCTTCTGTTTCTTCTTTCTAAATTTTCACGCTAGCATCAAATGCTTTACCGTCCCTGCTATTACCATTGTATTCCAAACATATTCCACATCTTACACAAAAGCTTGTGCTCCCTACCAATGAAGTGGTAGGTGGTTTACTTCCTCACAGGCACTCTTACACATGAAGCACCAACAGTCGTTCCACTTATAATCACGCCCCCCCCCCTCGCCGCCGCCGCTATTCCAACATAATACCTTAAACATTTAACATCTTATCCACCATTCTTTACGTTCTTCCTATCATCTCATGTCCATCAGTAAGAAATTCTTAAAAGTGGAAATATTACAGAATTGGCAAATCTTCAGTCTAAGCTCTGGTTAATTCGTCGACAGGATATCTTTGATAATTCTAATATTCTCGTATATGCCGCGAAAGTTTTGGAAGGGTTCTATCATTTAGCTTTGTGTCATTTAAAATTATCCAACAGAAGTGATGATCATCTTAAAAAGGCTATTGCAACCATGTTGTTTTTCTGTGGGTGATAAGTCCACCTCCAATCACGGCATGAGCGGCATCTAATTAGTAGGACGCTGACACTTTTAAATAATTAAGTGCTCTTCTCATCTTTTTGAAGTATGTTTCTAGAAAATCATTGGTTACAAGTTAATTCAGAGGAGGTTTTCTGTTTTTGCCACAGTTGTATCTTTTTGAAGTATGTTCCACTCTTTTTTTGTCAGAGCAGTCATTATCATTAGAAAAATAAGAATAATTGAGATTAAGTAACTGCCTGTTCCACTTTTTGATGTCGAATTTTCTTTTTCTTTACAATGATATGACTGCACAAGCAAAGACATGTTTTTTTTCTGTATTTAATCTAGCAATCTTTTTTCTTCTAGACTAGTAAAACATCTACTTCATATGAAAGGAGCTTATTGTAATGATGCAGAATTTTGTACCTCGCCCAAGGCTATAGTAACTTAAAGCATGAACCTCCTTAAACTTGTACAGACAGTGAAAAAGAAATTATCTGCTGCAGGAAGCCATCGAAACCACAGTTGCTTGTTCTGCAATGGCTTTGCTGAAAGAGGAAGAATCAAAGGAACAAAGCCGATCTCCTAAAAGCTCATGGGCTAAGTGGAAACGAAGAGGTATAATAGGTGTGGCGGCGGTAACTGGAGGAACCTTGTTGGCAGTTACTGGTGGTATGGCATCCCTGACTTTCTTAGTGTCCTGACATGATTAAAAAAACCTCTTAGGAAAGTGAAACAGATTTCTCTGTTCTTTTAGTCTTCATTTACGCTTAAATAGGTTTAGCATCTTCATGTTTCCTATGTTTTAGCAAGTGCAGGCATGACCTGACAAGCCGTACATGAATCAAATTGTTTCTCCTTTCAGTCTTCTTTAGATTCTTAAAGGAGTTGGAATGTAATCTGTGGAGAACCCTCATAGGAGATGAAATATAGTATGATTTCCTTGCCTTCGTTTTGTTCGTAAACAGGTTTGGCTGCTCCGGCAATAGCTGCAGGCTTTGGTGCTTTAGCCCCTACCTTGGGAGCCCTTGTTCCTGTGATTGGAGCAAGTGGGTTTGCTGCTGTTGCTAGTGCTGCAGGAAGTGTTGCCGGGTCTGTTGCAGTAGCAGCATCATTCGGGGGTAAACACATATTTCATAAGATATCTTGTTGCATCACCATTCACCTTTTTGGTATGAGCGCCGCTTGTGGTTTTGCACTTCTCTTTTTCTTTGATAAGGTAAGGTAATTTAATAAGAATAGTACCAAAGAAGTAACAAAAGTTACAAAACAATGGTGCTAGAAGCAGATTCACTCAGCAGCTCATACACACAAAATAATAAAGATGAGCTAAATCATCCACCCTACTATTCTTACCTCAAAAATAGTGCTTTTGTACTTCTCAGGTAGCCAAAGGCTTAGATTGATTTGTGGAGGGTAGTCCTGATATTTTTGCTTACCCAGCTGCTGGAGCTGGACTTACAGGAAGTAAAATGGCCAGGAGAACTGGAGATGTTGATGAATTTGAGTTCAAGGCTATAGGAGAAAACCATAACCAGGGTGTAAGTAATTAGCTCTCTTTTGTACTACTTGAAATTGTCTTGTGACTCCTGTCTGCATTCCTTATTTCAGTTAGTAGGTGGGCATTGCAGTCTGTAATCTGTATCGTGTCTCTTCGAGTTCTTGCATCTTTATTCTCATAGTTGTCATAATCTTTAGTTTTAGTCATGGGCCACAGGAGCTCACCTATGTTTGTTCTCACTTTGCACTTTTGGCATCAGCGGCTGGCAGTTGAGATTTTGATCTCAGGACTTGTTTTTAAGGAGGAAGATTTTGTAAGACCTTGGGAAGGACAATATGATAACACTGAGAGGTAAAAAGTATCTTCTTTTCTTTTTTTGTTGGTTGATCTCCATTTGGGTAGATGATTTCATTCACCTAGGTCAACATAAATTATTGACTAGTTTGTTTTGATAGTTCCCGTATCTGTCAGTGAAGGCTTATTAAGCAGAAACCACTCTTACATTTCTCAATTTCTTCAGATACGTGCTGCAGTGGGAGTCGAAGAATCTTATTGCTGTAAGCACTGCAATTCAGGATTGGTTGACGTCAAGTAATAATTTTTACTTTGCCTTTTAGCATATGATACATTGGCCAGTTAAATTGCTGCTGTATTCGGTTATGATGCTGACATCATCACTAATTACAGGACTTGCAATGGAGTTGATGAAGCGTGGTGCTATGATGACCGTTTTAAAAACTCTTTTGGCAGCATTCGCATTGCCAGCAACATTGCTTGCTATGACTGATTTTATTGACAGCAAATGGACTATTGCCGTGGACAGGTTCTTGTTTGTTTGTGTATCTGATTTACAATCTCTTTTTTGAGGTTGGGGTTGGGATCAAGGAGGAACATGTGATGAAGCTGTTTTATCTTCCATTTATGTATATGACACGATTAGAAGTAAAAGGAAGAGATTAATATAATTGCGGTAATAATGAGAAGAACCTATCTATGAACCCAAATTATTTACCATTTTTTTTTTCTGTATTTCCATCTTTTGTTTCAGTGGAACTAATTCTAGCTCCAATCATGCTTCTTAATTATCAAGCAGTTCTACTCTATTATATTGTGTCAAAGCATAGTATCCTACTTAGATTGGAAAAGTAAATTCTGCCCATTGCTATTTATTATTCGCAGATCGGACAAGGCAGGAAAACTTCTGGCAGAAGTGTTACAGAAAGGATTACAAGGACATAGGTAAACAAGCTTAAGTAGATTCTGAGCATTTTCCAGTTGAGTCCCCTGAAAGATTGCGTTTTCACATCAACCAATTCTGTTGGTTGTCCATAAATGTTTCAGACCTGTGACACTCGTAGGGTTTTCACTTGGGGCAAGAGTTATCTTTAAATGTCTCCAGATTCTGGCTGAGAGCGAGAGTAATTGTAAGTGTTCTTTAAAAATGTTTTTCTTTCTTACAGTTTATCAGTGGCTTAATACGATCCTAAAGTATTTTCTTGCATTTTCACAGCTGGACTTGTGGAAAGAGTTGTTCTTCTTGGGGCACCCATTGCAATTAAGGATATGAACTGGGAAGCAGCTAGAAAGGTTTTGGCTTCCCACTTTGTTAATTTCAACTACTCTTATTAGAATGAGCATCTTTATCCCCTTTCCTCTCCTCATTTGTTTTCCCAAGTATAAGGCTTGGACGTGTCTACTTGGTTACCTCATTATTATTTGAGGATCTCTCTTCCTATTTTAAAGGTAGTGGCTGGTCGATTTGTGAACGCTTACTCTACAAATGATTGGATGCTAGGGATTGCCTTCCGTGCCAGGTTTGCATTATCTGCAAGCATAGTACTAATGTTAAAAGTGTCAATGACTGATGCTAAGCTCTGCATACCCTGTCTTAAACTCTTCTCTTGTGCTCTCTCCAAATTGCCTGTCTGCATTTTGGCTTGGCACAATATTAAGAGAGTTATTGAAAATATGAAACGTTTCCTTGAGCCTGGGGTCTATCGGAAACATCTTCTCTACCTTCAAGGTAGGGGTAAGGTCTACGTGCACACTATCCTTATCAGACCCCACTTGTGAGATTATACTGGGTTTGTTGTTGTTGTTGTTGTATTGAAAATATGAAACGTTAAATATTCCTAAAAAAACATAGTTATATACTGATACTCTTAATTGTAGAACAATAAACAAGGATAAAGGAGTAATTGTTTCGAGTTAAAATTAGGTCATATAGAACTTTTATTTGAAATATATTAGAACTTCTATTTAAGGAAATTGGAGAATAATTTGGGACATTCCAAAAATGAAAGTAGGCCAAATGTTCTACATGGAGGGAGAGTATGTTTTCATGTTTCATATGTCGTTTATGCTTCTGTTTCTGTATAACTTGTGCATTTTCTTCCAAACAGTCTCCTTACTCGAGGTTTGGCTGGAATTCAACCAGTTGATGTTCCTGGTATTGAGAATGTAAGTTTTCATTTGTACTTTTCCTCTTAAGGATAACCAAATTTGAATCTCCATCATTTCTTGCTCAAACCCTTCACTTTTAACAGGTTGATGTGACTGAACTCATCGATGGTCATTCCTCCTATTTATGGGCTACCCAAAAGATTTTAGATCTACTTGAGCTTGATGCCTATTATCCGGTAGTTCTCGGTCGCGTCGCGCTGTAAAGACGGACGTTGCAACTTGCAACATATTTTCTTCCTTAGATGATAAATGCATTTTAGGGGATTGTATCTGTTACAGGAAGTGCATAGTTAGCCTGGTCATTCTATGACCACGGGTATACCACATATAAATTTCTGAATATGAATGATATAGCGAGAATCTGAAATCACGACTGAAGCAGGTGATTTAAAGTTCTGTTTTTCGCGCGACTCATATATGATTCATGCCAGATTGTGAAAAGTATTAAGAAACTTATCACACAGTAACAATATAGAACAAGAAAAACAAGCTAAGAGATATAGAGAGAAAGAGAGGAGAGATTCTTATTTCTTCCATGTATTCAAGTGTGTACAATGTCCCAAACCCTATAATTATAGGATGATATTTAGGTAATACAAAGGGATGCCATGAACATGGTATTAACTATTGAGATCATGGGGGAAGATCATGGAGTTGTTGGAGTTACAATTATAATAGTAAGAAGTAGTGGGAGGTTAATGGAGAAGAGTAATGGGTGTTACTCCCTTAGGAGTTATGAACATCCACCATAATCAAGTATTTCATAATACTCCCCTTGGATGTCCAAATATGGATAATGTACCTCGTTAAAACTTTACTAGGAAAAAACCTTGTGGGAAAAAATCCTATTGAAGGAAAGACTACACATATCATGTAATATGCATTGTCTGCTGCCTCGTTAAAAACCTTGCTAGAAAAACTCATTGGGACAAAACCTGTGCTAAGGGAAAAAGAGTACAACGTATTTGCTTCCCCCCTGACGAAAGCATCACTTTATTTCTTGAAAACAATGCATTTCAATCTTGTATTTAAACTTCTCAATCATTGAGGTTGGTAACGCCTTAGTGAACAGATCAGCGAAATTGTCACATGAACGAATTTGTTGAATATCAATTTCACCATTATGTCGAAGATCATGCGTTTGAAAAAGAACTATGGTGAAAATTGCTTTATTATGTCTCCTTCGATATATCCTTCTTTCAATTGGGCTATGCAAACAACATCTTCAATATTATTGGAATCTTCTCTTCAAAAAAAAGTCACACATTTGTTGTGTGTTGAGTCACTTGCTTTATGAGCTGCTTATCTTGCCATGACTTGAATAAGTATCAACAATTAACTGCATTGTAGAATAATAATATAGCAACTCTCAATGCAAATAGATTGTTTGAAGAACGAACTTCAGAAAAATACCTGCATTTGCATAATCAACAAAATCTTGACAGTATTTGTTAGCAAAAGTAAATCTATATCAATGATTCCTTTTGCAGTATAACACTAATCGTATTTCAATATATCCACATAAGAGTAAAATTATATCTTGCTAGAATATTGTTATGCTTATGGTTTTAGCAAGATACATTAGTGCACCAATTGCACTAGACACAAACAAATCATGTACGCCATGATTGGTCTAATCCACATAAGGATTTGATGAAGCTTTATTTAATAAGTTTCTTGGGAACCTTACTATGCTTCAGAATAATGTAAACTGTTCAGGGATTTTCATTATACGCATATAAAGTTTTTCATGTACTACCAAATTAAAACCTAAAAATGATTTCATCCATCACATGAGAACATATCTCCATATAACTAATGCTAGGATATTTAGGAAAAATCTTGTGCCACAAGTCGTCTTTATGTCTATCGACTTGATTTTTTATTTCACTTTTAGGTGTTGGAACTATCCGTCCAACTTCACATTTTTCAATTGAAGTTATTTTTCATTGCGTATTTTTCATTTGGCCAATTATTTATCTGTCCAAATTTCATGAAAGATTTGAGCTCAAGATCCTCGTCAATATTAATAATATTGAGCGCTATATTATATCAACAATATCGCCAATGATCATTTTACATCGGTTCCATCATCACACAATAATGGCATAACTTATCGAGATTTTATTATTTTCAGGTACCTGAGCCTCTTCCATGAGGTCTTATAGAGAGTTATGTCGTGGTGCTCTTCTAGAGCACTTGCCTCCTTATTATGACCATCTTGATCATTTGCTCCACTCCTTCTTCACGAAGTTTTATCTTTGGAACCAATTAGTCGATTACGCTTTATGCGTTTCATAGACTCTGTCCATCATGGACTTTATTTTAGTTGGAGCATTAGCAGCTGAAATATGACATTTAGCTTTGGGTCAGCAAATGCCCCTGGCAATATTTTGCAAATAAATTATCACTTGAATTTCAAGTTCACATTTTCTTGTACGAGGATCTAGATGTACTCATAATAAATCATTCCACGTATCACTTTTTCAACTGTCCATTTTCTCCTCCTAATGTTGGGATCACCAACACATTTTCCAACTTTCTTTGGAAACCCATCTTTGTGCATTGTGGTGGGATAATTAAATCATATAGTACATCAATATTTCTAGATAGAAATTATTTGGTTCCTAGCCCTGAACCAATTGTGATAGGGAGAATTTATCGTAACTTATTGTCTAGATGCGTACAAGTGATGTTGTATATTAAATAATACACTTCATACCAAATTTCTTTTTCGGAGTTTTGTTCTCATAACCAATGGTTTAGCTATAATTGAAGGTATACAATTTCTGCTGAACCAATTTGGATTTAAACCAACATTATCAAGATAAATCATCATAATTTATATTTTGGAACTGCGCTCTAATAATTTGAGCAATCAACCTTGCAAATTGATAACAAACGCGTGTGTAACCATACAATAGATGCATCTATTAAAATTATATAATAATAAACGGTCCACATGGCAGGTGATTGGGCCCAT